ATTTACTTTTTTTTTCTTCCAGTCACTTGTCTACTACAAACGCTTAGTTGCTTTTCCCTTTGTATTAAAAATTTGTAAACAATGTTTAAATCGCTTTCTCCCTCTCACTCTCTCTCTCTCTCTATCTATCTTTTATTGAATGAACGAGGTCTTCTGATAAAAACTTGTACTTTATATATGCAGGAAAAACATGTCGTAGCTATAGTTTGTAAATATTTGTTTTATAAGCTATGTATGTGTGTGCCTTTCTCACCACAAGAATCAGACGTGCACTAAGTTGTGTACTAAAATGCTTAAACGTAGCCTCAAATTGTAAACATTTATTGTAGTTCGTAAATAGGTCTTGCCCTCATGCTTTCACTCGGCATTATAGATTTCGGAAGCGGAAAGTGCTGCATTAAATCCATTCATAATTATCATTTTTGCTGCAATTTAAAAAGCTGAAGTTCTTCTAAGCATTCTTCGTACCCTACTGGCAATTGCAGTTATCTTAGTTTTATTGGCCGCCTAACTCATAGCAAATAATTTCTTTTTACAAAATATTTTGACGATCACATATCAGCATATCCGCTACAGCAAGCTAACACTACAGAGTGTTGTAAGAAAATGGCTTAAAACAATTGAAAAAGAAGGGAAAATTTCTTTGGAATATATAGACTTGGGGACAGGCTAAGGTATGTACATTTCTATTTACACTACTTTAATATAGTTATCGTAGATAATAACTTCAAGGCATATACGACAAACAGAAAAGATAAAGGGCGTGAAGATAAATTCGCATTTAATTAGCAAAGACACGTACTGTACCTGTTAAGAAAACTCTGTTAATGCCTTCACAGAGCTCTGTTAAATAATTAAAATGAATACATAATCGGATTTGAAAGCCTACTCCGTCCGTATTGAAAAAAGGGAAAATATTTTTGTGAAACATATTTTGTGAATCTATATGAAAATGCCTTTAAAAACAAACTAAACAAATTCAAATTCTTCTTATGGGAACTATTTCCAACAATGTTTTTGAAATTTGGTATGTTAGCGGAAAATGAGCATGGAAGTACATGCGAAGTTGGGATGGAGAGCGAAATCGATCAAGTCATGTCAGTAGTATAGGAAATCTGCATTAGGTAATCTCAGTTCACCTTAAGCCCTTTCACAGAAGTTGCTAATGTTGCTAATGTGCATTTTTTCTATTCTTCTATTCTATCTTCTCTTTTCTGCCCTCCACCGAAGCTTGGGAGTATGTTCATTTCTTCAAAACGTTTGCAACATCTTGAAAATACTTTCATAGACTCTATAAAGTACATACATATATATATATATTGTTGATCAACCTGAATCAGTTGAAACATATCAATTTGTCCGACTACCGACTGCCTACCCGTCCCCGGGTATCTTTCTCCTGTCTGGGCAATGATGTTAAAGGAAGTTCGGCTAAAGATTTGCATATACGTGGACTGATTTATCACATTCAAGTTCTGCTATTATAGAGTACTAAGCCCTTTTCGGACACTTGGAAAGTGTGTGAAGAAACGAACGAAAACGGGACGTCTTTCGAAAACTGATGCAAACTATTCGAAATAGTTTCGAAGAGTTCTAAGAATGAGGACATAAATCTATCCTCTGTGTTGCAACTATCATAATAATATTTTGCATTACGAACCACTTGTAAGTTCTTGAGCGCAAATGTGTTTTTGCGTATGGTTTTAAAATCGAAATGCCATACGTGAATGCACTTTTGTAAAATTATCTAATTGAATTTTGTTTTTATTACTTACTGATATATATTGCTAAGGCGTTGTGTATGAATTTCCATTATTATGGGATTTCAACTCTTTTTGATTTGCAATTATATGAAATTTAAATGAATTTTAATTTTCAATTAATTGCAAATACAAGTGCTTCGAATAAATTTAAAATCTATGCACATACACGCATACGTATGTAGTTTTCAGGGCATGTGCTGAGAAAAAGCCTACAGCCCACTTCTACCGGCAAAAAGCAGGCAAAAGAATGTAAATAATTTTTAGAGATTTTGTAAATGAACGGACCTCGGCGTGCACATATAAAACAATGACGCTGTTGAATTAGACCAAACACTTCAGTATCGGAACTTAACAGATTGATGTACATATTCCCACATATGGGTATATTATAGGTATATGCAAATTTCAATAAAACGCTTCACGCAAATTCGAAATACACTCTCTCAACAGCTTCAACCGTACGGAGCATAAGGTAATCTACAAAGTATAGACTGCAGTCAGTGGAAAAATTATGATTAATTATGAAAGCATTAAGCAGTTTTATATAAATATGACGGCACTTATGAGCTTCGGATGGGTCAAGGTTGCGTAAGCACCATCATAATTGGCCTCGTTCAGTACAAAAAAAAAAAAACATAAAAGTGATCTTAAAGTTCTATAAACATGCTTTAAGTGTTGTCTTAAGTGGCCGCCTGTGCCTTTTAAGTGGCTTTGCAAAAATTCTTGAAAACTTTTCTAAAAAATTAACAGATAACCCTCGAAAACGCGTTACCGATGAATGCAATTTCAAAAAAAAAAAAAAAAAAAAAAAAAAAAAAATGAAAAATAAATTCTTGTTTCCAAAATCCTTAAAAATCTTTTACTATAATTTCCGATTTCGATGTTAATAAAACGTGTTAAAGCTGCTTCTCTGCGATACTTTTGTTTACATTTGCAATCGCGCTGTGCTACGCGCATAGAAATGCTTCGCTCTCGTAAATTATAATCGGTTGTCTAAACAAATATTTTCACCCATATATGATGGAATATAAAACACAAATCGTACACCATCTCATGGCACATTACAAGCTCTTAGCATGAATAACGATTTTGCAATCGATTTCCATCCTCTTCTACGCGTTTTGCAATCCAAAAAAAAATTGTTAATCAGAAATGGCTTTCGATGCAGCTTTAATACCGGGAATTTGCAATAAATGTTTAAATGCCTGCGTCTTTCCATTGTCCACACTCGTTGCATATTTGAATTTGAATTTCACCTAATTTTATCGTCGAAGATCTGCAACGATATTTGCATTGATTGATGCTTCTATGCGCTGTGCAGTTCATGTGCCAGGTTTTTTCATTTCTTATTTTCTCTTTTATTTTATGTGCTGTTACAATGTTTGCTTCTATTCTCGGTGGCTGCATTTCTATTTTTTTTTTTTTTTTCCTTTTTCATTAATTTGGTGTTGTATTTATTTTTCCTTACCGAAAACGTAATAAATGCTAACGAAATACGCTTGTTTATTAGTACTGGAAGCCGTGTTATGATTGGTGAATTGTTTTGAAAAGCATGCTTAGAAAAATAAATCAATCAATCGATCATTATTATCAATCACGCAATGAGTTAAAAAAATAAAAAAAATTCATAAATATTTCAGAATAACTTGCAACATTTTTTATTGATACAAGTCGTCAATCGTAAACGTCTTTACACATGTGAATATTATCTTGTTGGCATCGTGATCTAAAGCTCCAAAATGCTAAAGACTGGAGAAAATGGCTATAGACATTTTTTCAATTCCCATTTGCCGTTTTTCCTGGTTAACTGTATTCAACTTTTATTCCGCTTTTAATTTGTTTCGTTTTAATAGGTGCTCCCTCTTCTTGAGCACACCCCGTGGAGTGTGATATTTACTGTTTCGTGAAAATATTTACTGTTTAGTTGTTAAGAGGAAATCCTTTACTGCTGAAAACTGCTTGCTTGGGAATGAAGATCAACGAAAGCCTTGAAATCTCAACAGTTAAATGCTTATACGTTCATAGAGTATTCATAGAAGCCCCGTTTCACAGTACCGATCGCCTTGCGTGAGACTTGCGTAAACATTAAGTCCATAATTGACTCTTCAGAATTGAAAAAGCTGAAGTGGGAAATGAAAATTCTATGTATGGTCCCATTGCTTTACCCTTGAGATTAATTTTGAGAAAATCGCCGACAGTAACTGGCAAATGGTTGTAACGTTTTCATATGATGATCGGGCGGATAATTTCCAAATAGCATTCAAGTACTACAAAGCAAGTAGTCATCGATTATTTCGAAAATGCGGAGCATGTCGCATCAATCGTTTTAGAGGATTTTGGTAAATAAGAAAAAGATACGCGGCATCCAATACAATGTAAATGTGAATTTATGAATTTCAGTATATGGAACACCTACGAATATCTAACTTATGATCAATCGGCGCGCTATGCCCTTCTGGTTTTGTAACGGTGAAGAAAACAAGCCAAGCAGTCGCAAGATCTGTACTTTAGACGTATGTGAATACTTAGGAAAATGGGCAGAGGAAATTGTCCTCAGCGTGCATGAAAGCGTAGCAACATGTAAAAGAGTTTTTGCTGCTGAGTACAAGTATTTCTTTTATTGCACGATGAGTTCTTACTTTTTAATGTCAGCACAGATCTCATCTATCAAAATTGAAAGGAGTTACAAGTTCACGACAATTGTTTTTCACACGCACCATAAGCACAGTTTGGAAGACGGGGCTAAGCAATTAAAAATAAGCCTTTTAGCATTACGTTAAGACTACGCTAAACGGCATTTTCGAAATATTTTCCTAACATGGTTTCTCTGATAGCTTGCAAAACGCTGAGCCTACTAAAAAATGTGTGAATTTTTCATAATTTTTTTCTTTACATAAAGCTCTTTATTATACTCTGTTGGAACCCTTTTTTGTCCAGTCATTTTCAAATTTCCAAGGGAGCCACATGCCTTTCGATTTAAAACACTTTCGCTAATTGATATAAGCACTTCTACACCGAGTAATATGCTTTTAATTTTTATTGTAACTCTTCAAAATAAACGAACAAAAAATACTTCCAGGAAAGTTAGACTTACGCAAAAAGTTCTACTAATGACGCACAAATGCACGAGTGAATCTTAAAAGTTATCTTAAAAGTTAATTAAAATTTGAACTATCACACCATAGTTTGACTCGCAAAGCTGCCAAGCAATTGCAACGATATTGATTCAAAGGACAATTAATCGATTTCCACATTTTCTTCGTTTTCCTGATGAATCGATTTGCTCTCCTGCTCGACATGTTCTGAAGCTAAATTGTTTGAGGTAATAATATTAGCGGGACTGGTGCTAGGTGACGAACAGTTATTGTCCAAGTAATTGGGCGAGGAGGATGCTGATGAATTGCTGAAGAAAGCTAAACTCGAATTACCTTTGGAGACGGGAACTGTCGAGTTTTGCCCATTAAGATGTGGTGGTGGTATAGGTTGGGGAATTTTAACATTGCTGGATGAATGGGAATAAAAATATGGAAATGGAACACCGTACGCCATTTGTAGTTGATGTCGATAAATGCTGAGCAGGGCTGGATCTAAGCCATGAGCACCGTAAGAACTACCAGGCGGAAACATGTGAGCGTAGGCGGTAGTACCATCTTCTCTTACAAGCACTTGAACTGGAACCCGTTTACTGGCGGCGGCAGCCGACATGAGAGCAGCTTCGTGCTGTTGTATTTGCTTCCGTTTCGTTTTGTAGCGACGATTCTGGAACCAGATCTTTACTTGAGTCTCAGTCAGGCGCAAAGTTTTTGCCAATTCCGAACGTTCCGGACCGCTTAGGTAACGTTGCTGAGCAAAGCGTCGTTCCAACTCAAAAACCTGGGCGTGACTAAAAGCCGCACGAGAACGTTTCTTGCGATTTAAATGCCCGCCTTGTAAGTCATCAGTTAAAGGTGAAAACGATCTGCCGTTAGCATGCGTTACATACGCTGCTGAAGTTTTGCTAACGGGGGGAGGAGGCGAATCGCAATCTGCACAACAAAACACCATTTATGAATATTGATTATCAGATGGAAAAGAAACATTTTCCAGAAAAAAGTTGTATATCATGACTTTTTGGCGATCAAAAAGTACCTTTACCTGTGTCATTATTAACACTACGTCGCATGTCCAACGGGCAGTCATGACGACTGCCCTCCCCTAAAGCATTTGAAGACCCAAATAAGGCAAGTTTCTGCTGCATATAATCACTGCCAGCGTTATTACTATCCGGTCTGTAATAATTCGCTGAACAAAGATGTTCGGCTGTATTTTTTATCTCCACATTAATATTCGCATTGGCTGCATTATCCGACGGCAGGGATAAATTAAATTTTGTAAACGAATTTAAATCACGGGTAAAATGCTTCAGACGGGTTTCTTCCATCCTCACTTCCGTATCAGATTCGCTATGCGGACACCGTTTTTCGGAATGATCCCGCATAAGTATATCATTTATTGAGAACGGTGTTGTAAAGATTTTGCCGATACCAGCTATTGTCGGACTCGTATTCTTTTCCATATTCGTCAACATTATTTGGAATAGTACTTTAAATCTTCAGCAATTAGCCTTTCACACGTCTTATCTATTTGCTTAACACTCAACGAATATGACAAACTCTCTAAATATTTTCCTTAAATACCGTAATGATCTTCTCGAACGCAAATAGCGTTTCACTCCAATAGCTCTCGAGTACAATGAATACATTTTTGAATATAACTTTTTATTTCCTACAAGCACAGAGGGAGGATGTTGCTATTTATAAACATCGTCACGATAAATATTATGAAGCAAATCTTCAACCACAATAGCATCTCTCAGCTATACTCACTTGTCTGCGCAATGTTAGTCAATCGTATAACTTTCTCCCACCCAAAGCCATACTACTGTTTATATGCTCAATATGAGTACAAATTATCATTAGCTGATTGGTTGTTAGACACTTTGGATGAGTTTTTCGTATATGTTACGAGATATTTTCTCTTTTCTTTGCTTTGGTTTTCTGTAAAGATGGGGTTCTTTCTAACTACATTTCCTTACATTTCCTACTTAACAATTCAAAAAAATTAAAATCATATCTTCCCTTAATGGAATTTCGTACGTTTAAATTTTCCCAGCTATTAAACATAAATAAACAATTCAAATAAAAAATATTTATATTGCTGTTACTCCTGGTAGAAACCCTTAAGTAAAACTTTTGCGGTAAGAACTTACGAAGGAAGAAAACGCATTGTTATGAAACAACCTATAACATATAGGTAAAAATGGCGACTTGTCGTTAGGTGGAGACGTGTTTCTTGCAATGTATGTGGGCCTGACAAAACATTTGTCTCAGATTTCAGATCTTTATCAGCTAGATGAAGAAGCTTTTTATGACATTTTCTTTTGTTTTCCTAGACCGCTACACTTTCCTAGGTACGGCAAGTGCTGTTGCGAGTTGAACTTTCAATATTGACGTGGGAAATTACAGCAAGAATCTCGGTTCATACTTCAAGTGTTTCTTTCTTCCATCTCTGATGTCGTCAGCTTGAGAATTTCAACAGAGGACAAGGGGAAAGCGGAAATGTCTACATCGTTTCAGAATGTCGAACAAAGGGTGGATTCTAAATGTTGAGCTAATCAAGAATATATAAATGCATAAGGGGAGTTTTCAAGCATATTCTTCATCCTTCAATGGTTGATATACAAACAGCATTTCTTGGCTGAGCAGATCGTTAAAAAGTATTCAGGCTTCAGGTAGTAAGTGAAAAATTCCTTTTAAGAAGTACTTTGTGCAAACTTTTTGATTGTTTCGAATTAACTGTTCAGGCCAGATGTGAGCAACTGCCTGCGTGCGGCCCGAACGCAACTCGTCCCGTTTGAAAAATCACACAATTCAAATAGCAATGCTGCAAATGGGTTTTATCTGCTTTGCCTACTGCAGTGGTATGAAAATGGAAGTCACCATTTTCGTCAACAGGCCGATTACCAGCAATCTTTCGACGAATCAAAAAAAAATTTTAATGAATTTCGGTACTCGTAGAAAAATGGGAGAAAAGCCGAGACTGAGTATTTATATCTGTTCATCTGAAATTTGCAAAAACGTATTACGTCTTGAGCGATGTAAACTTTCGATTTACACTCAGATTCTGCTTGACCCTCCGCTGGCGTTATGATCCACGTTTAGGGAACGAGGTGAAAAAATTTGCACCTTTGAACCCTCTTACCTAGTTTCTGAAAACAACACAGACATTAATCCGTTAGTTAAGCCAGTATAACGATTGGGACTAAAACCAATGTAATCAATGATGTTTTTTTTACGTATTTATCTTACTGCAACGAACTTAAACTAAGCAAATATTTTTACTGAACTTTGACAAACTATCGCACAAATCCACTAATTCGGCTAATTGAGTAGCTCGAAAGCAATTCATTTAACGGTGTGGATTTTGCATGCGATTGGTAATGATTTTGTGAAAAGAAATAGAAACGGAAAAGACGCTCACTGTGCTATGATTGGGTGGGCATAAGCAAAGCAAAAACAAAAATGGTCGTTTTAAGCACATAACTAAATTGAGTTTAAGCGAAAACCACTCAAGTGCTCTCGGCGATTAGTGCCACTCATCGAGAAAAGTCTTATTAATATAACATCTCGCTGACAACGCAATACATACGAACGAATTGTTATGCGAGGGTATGCTGCACTGCTACAGTACTCAGTGTGCGCGCAACCTACCTTTTACACCTTGAGGGCTAAATAAGCATTTTATTGCCAATTGAACGATTTCATATTTTATGGTTTTTTATCGAGCCCTTAAGCCAATATAAGGACTATGTGATGCGAATCTCTATCGAAGTCGACCGTAACTGCAAAAAGTGGTTGTTATTCTTTTTGTGGTCACCTCAACGGAGATTTTTTTGTATTCATTTCATAATATGTAACTCGTTAATTGTGTTACAATTCAATGAGTTTCAATAATACTTGAATAATTAGCCCATGCGTTTTGCACACACGTCAACGCGTTAGCGGACCACATATATCGAACAGAGAATAAAATGAAAAGAAGGGAACCACTTTTTTGTGATTGTTGTTGCTCTGTTATGACTACTTTTGATGATGACTCTCGAATTAAGTTGAACAGGAAATGTTGAATGCTTCTTTTGGCGTGATCACGTGCTTTGATAGGATTACTGGTTTTAGTCAGAGGCGATTGTAATAAGTTGATTACACACATTTTTGTCTTAATATGCTTCCTATTGATTTTTAGCTTTTTTATAATGGCCTCGATTCTTTTTGCGTTAAGATTGTTTTTTTTCCTTTTACTTTAAATCCCTTTAAAGCATTTGTTTGATTTTCTATGATTTATTAACAGCCACTCCGAGTGTTCAGTCTTTTGCTTGCGCACAAACAGGGATAGTGATGTTCGTAGCTTTTATAAGAAATATAATATATTTGTATAATAAATTGAAACCAACAACTCATCAATTTTCATAAGAGTTCACTTTCCTGCGTATTCAATCTAGATTAAATAAATAAGTATTTTTATATCTCAACTAAATAAACTTTATCTCATTATACCGCATTTATAGTAAATAAATGCAAACATACTTTCTCTTTTCTCCTATTAAATTTATTACCCCGTAAGTGGTTTTATACAATGTTTTATATTATACAAACAAGAGGGAACATTACACTTGCCGCTCCTCAAAACAGTAAACATTACTTGCAATACTGCACATGGTGCCTATGAGGCTTGTATTAGAACAGACAGACAGAAACTATTATCCTTCATTTAACTTGTTCAATTTATAAATGTTTATTAAATCTTACACCAAAGAGAGGAGAGAAGAAAACAAATAGATCTAATTGCAGTACTAATATTGCAAATAAACCAACCATAGCGATGTTTTATTTGGAACATAGGACGATAAAAATTGACCTTTAAGCAATATTGAGACTATCACTGCTCCGCTTTACACCTCAATCAAAAATAACCAGCAAAGTTGTAGGCAGCACTTAAAATGATGCTATTATATGAAAGTCCGAATATGAATAATAAGGGAGTAGTGCGATCTGCTGTCGCAGTCACCTAATAAAGACTTTCTCATGCAAGGAATTCGTGAAAATTCAAGCCAGATGACAATAACCAAGGCGTAATTATTTTGTATGAATAACTAAAGACGATAGGTAGGGCAATTGAATTAAGACAGTGAAAGTTAGTGTACTTGGCACAATTGTTGACGGCATCCGAATTGATTCTCTTTTTTTGAAAGGCGTAAACATGATATCAGTAGTACTTTTACATTAAGCAACAAGCACTAAATAAGTTTTCACATTTTTTTCAAAGATGTAGTAGCTTGTAAATATTGTAAGCCATAAACTGTCCATAACTGGAGCTTACGCAGTGAACATCTTTTCCTTCGAAAGTTGGCAGAACTCAACTACATTTTTGGGTTAAACAGTTCATGTTGAGTTCAAATCTAAACTTTTAACAAACAAGTGAGCATTTGTACACCGAATCAGTAGTTCACACTATTTTTTATTAATTTTTTTATCATTTAAATCTTTAATGTCAACTGCAAAATATATAAACGGAATTATGCGTATAATATCACAGTCAAAAATAGTTGTTATATATGGAATGATAAGTAATTGGATGGACAAGAATATGTGTACATGTGTAAAAAGATTCCACCACACTGCACGACAAAATTCAAGCTTTCATTTAAAAATCTGATCATAGTTTGGAACGCAGAGAACAATACCGTTAACTCTTAAAAAGTAAAATTTGTATTTGATGTTGGCGTTTTACGATAAACTTGAGTTTACTGTGAATGCCTTATTAGGCGTCATTGCCAGCTCAAAACGAATCAAGCTTTAGCACAGACAGAGTGGTATAACAAGGTACACCATTGCATTTCCGTTTCCCGTTTCCTGTTTGCAACTGCAATCAGTCAATGACTGTTAACATTGAAAGAGTTAAAACGTCAGCGCGTTTCTCGTATTTTTAAGTATAAAAAATTTTCTGTATATAAAATTTGTCTGCATGAATGGTCCAAGGAAGAAACTTCTTGTACAAAATTCTATTTATTTCTACATAACTAATGTCAATTGCCAAAATATGAAGCATTAAAATATAAACTTACTTTTGAAATCTTGTGGACTCCTCGTTACGCTGGTTTTGTTGAAACGCTCAATCTATTGTAGCAACTCGTTGCTTGTAAGGTAAACAACACAAAATTTAATCACACACTCACTCGCGCACATTTATCTCTTTTTGTCTCTTTTTTGAAAAGTAAATCCGATTACATACCACACCAAAGTGGGCCTTAAAATCACGTCCTTTTTTTATTTTTCTTACAGCGATTTTTTCAAAGACAATTATTAAAATGCGGTAAACACAATATAATTAAAAATGATATGTAGGAGAACTTTGAATTAAATTTCTTTGCACTTTTTTACTTCTTTTCGAACCACGCGCTTACTTCCGACTATAATCAGAATATAAAAACGAAGACGACGGCGAGTTAAATCTATTATATTCCTCCATTTTCAAATATTTCCGGTTTTTCATTAAAGTCGCATTTATGATTCATGTCCTA